TAAGGGCTCATTCAAAGAGATGACACCAAGGTAAGGGCTCAGAATTGGGGAATGGAAGAATCTTTACAAAGAGTGTTCCCTTAACAGGCCATATGTTAGGTGGTTGGAAGATTGGGGAGGGTCACACAGGCCTGGGTTTGAATCCCAGTTTGGACACTTGTTAGCTGTGTAACGAGCTCAGAGAGGCAAACTTACTGGCCCTCTCTGAGAACCACTGCTTTGTGTGTATGAAACTAGGATACTATCTCCTCTCTAAGGGTCAGGTGTAAATGAGATAATACTTGAAAGGCGGTTGGCACAGTTCCTGGCATACAGCAATCCATCAGGACATGGAAACCGTATTGTTATTACTTTCTGAAGTAAGTTTTTATTAATTATCTATTGCTGCCACAACGAATTACTATAAACTTGGTGGCTTAAAACAACAAAAAACGTACTATCTCATAGTTCCATGAGTCAGAATTCTGACATGGGTCCCTCGGGCTAAAGCTGTGGGTGTCGGCAGGGCTACATGCATTTCTGGAGGCTCTAGGGCAGCGTCTGTTCCTTTGTCCTTTCCCCTTTGCAGAGGCCACCTGTGCTCTTTGGCTGTAGCCTTCTTCCTCCATCTTCAAAGCCAGCGATGGCAGGGTGAGTCCTTCTCAAATCATATCACTCTGACCTCTTCTTCTGCCTTCCTCTTCCACTTTTAAGGACCTTGTGATTACACTGGGCCCATCTGAATAAGCCAGGGTGATCTCCCTATGTAGATGTCAGCTGATAAGCAACCTGATTCCCCCCTTATCATGTAACTGCAGGTTCTGAACATTAGGATGTGGACATCTTTGGGGGGCTTGGAATGGAGGGTAAGGGAAATGGTCTCTTCTCATTTTTCTTCCTTCTCTTCCATGGCTCCCAGCAGGGACTATGCCTAAGAAACAACTGGCTTAGGGATTTACCACCTGGAAAGGGATCCCCACCAATTCCATTGCTGGCTGAAGACCCCTGGCCTGGACTAAACTTATCCCTCCAGGTCGGGCCTGGATCTGTGAATGTGCTGCTTGGTGCCAGGAGGGCTGCTTTGTTCCACGTGAATCACAAAGCCAAGCGGTGCCCTGGGCTCCTGGAGCCCTTGTGACACTCCCAGTGGGGAAGGAGGGCTGGGCTTGGCAGGCTGCTGAAATACCAGGTTGCATGGTTACATCCTCACACTGTGTGGCACTGCCCTCAGAGTGGCTTCCCGATTCAAGCTGAAACTGGGGCAGCTCTGAATACCAAGGCCAGGGCCCCAGAAAGTCTGCACAGCGACTCTGAATCCTGAACTGAAAGAGCAATCTCTACACCTAACACTTTTATAATTTGGAGGACAACAAAAAACTTTTAACAAGGAGGGGGAAAAAAAAGCTCTCTCCTTTATGCTTGCTTTCCTGGCACAAAGTTGGAGGGAAATTTTCACTGTGTTCAGGTCTCAGACTGACTCTACCTCATGGCATTTGTTTTTTGTCTTTGGAAGGTCTGAGACTTGGCTTTCTTGCGTAAATTAAGAAAAGCCACTGACATTCAGTAAGTGTCCCAGTGGCTTAGAAGAAAGTTACCAAGTAGTTGCAAAGGTCTCCTTCTGATGATGTGCACGCCAGGCCTGAGTTTTGTCCTCCTGGTGTTCTCAGTGACAGGTGTGTGACCCGGGGATGCCCTTTAGGAGAAGCGGCTAACTGCCCCAGTCCATTGTATGCTAAAGCACAGGTTGATAAAGGTAAGGACCATGAGCCCATAGAGGCTTCCTGGAGCCACCAAGACAGGGACTCAGAAGCGGAAACTTTCCCAGAGCTGAGCTTTCCAGAGCTGAGCTTTACGCTTTCAAAGCACTCATCTCGCTGGAGTTCAGGACCTTTTTGTGGGTTCTGAGGGGACAGCAGCGCACGTAGGAGCTGGCACGAGTCCAGCAAGCCATCTGACTGTCTGTTAGCCCTGTGTCTTGGCCCTGCTTGGCATATTTCTTCTTCCTCCCGGGCTGTGAGTTTGGAGACCTCCAGGCCAAAGCTCCCTTTATCTGTCCGTTATCTGGGGCCTAGGATGTGTAATAAGCCACCTTCATTTGTCCCTTTTGATCCTCCCTTCTGAGCAGGCTGGCTCTAGTTTGATGGAAATAGCGACCGATCACTATCAGGAAAAACCTGGAGCCCAGAGGTGGCAACCCCAAAGAGTGACAGGAGATCAAGGGCACACTCGGCATTTTGAATTTACTATCTTCATTTAGTATTTCTCAGAAGCCGGCTGGTGACATACCAGACTCACAAACTGACCTGGTCTCTATCTCCCAGGCTCCGAAGGTACACATTGCTATCAGTTACTTTTAATAACCCTGAAGATACCGCAGCCACATTCTGCTGCAAACAGCCAAGCTCTGCCTGGCAGGCCAGTGTCCTTTAAGGTCTTGCCCTCCAATAGCTGTTCTCCCGAGCTGCACTGCTGAGGTTACTGATTTTCCTATTCAAACAGGGATCTGCCTTTCTTGCACTAGTCTTCCCCTTGCTGAAGTTTTACCAGATCTGATCTCTCAGTACTTTTCCTATTTCCTTCATAAACTCACGTGGTCTATTGCTTATGTGTGATTTCACCGGGCTGTCTTTTCATACAGAACTTCCTTGAAATACCTTAGCTCTGACGCCTGTGATTATCAAGTTAAAAAGGAAGAATTCTGGTCATTTATCTAATTTAAATTATTTAAAGAACATATTTCTGATTATGGGGACAAGAACAGTATTACCCAAATTGAGCCAATTTGCATACTACCTTTCTTTCTGACATCACTACACACCATCTGTGATATTCTTCCTTGATATTTCACATTACATTGTCTCAAGCCTACCCTACCCTTACCTTAAGCAATATTTGTAAAATCATAGGCTTAATGTGCTAGTTGTTAAGTTTTTTAAAATATTAAAATTAAAGCATAATTGTAAAAAAGAAGTATTTTCCTATCTACTATTTAAAATTATTTCCTATATTACTTATGTTAGCCTCCCACTTTGAGAAATGGTCATCTAGAATATAGTTTTTGCGACTACACATAACTACTACATATTTGAGATTTTTATGAATAATTTTATAGAAACAAATTTGCTACTATTTTAACATAGCCAAAGATGAAGCATTACTATGGTCTGTTCACAATAACTTTGGAGAGTAAAGAAATATAGCATATTCTTGAACAATGCAAAATACCTCCCTGCCTACAGGTCAGAACTTACATAAAACAGAAATTTATAATCCTTATTAAATTTTACTTCTTTACAAAGCCATCTGAGTTCTTTCTTGAAAACCTGGTCAGTCATCCATTCGGTCTTAAATAAATGATCATATCTGAGCATTCCAGTCCAGGGAGAACCAGAAGACACTGTTGTCCATTTGGTACAGCCACATAAGCTGAACTAAAACAACCTAACAAATGCTACCCATCTTTCCAACCCCACCCCCAAATCCTCCATCTCCAAAAGCAGAAACAAGCTCAGCTGTGATCTATAATAATTCCATTAACCCTGCAATGAAGCATCAAATTAAACTGCCTAGTGCAGATTCGTCTTTTGCTACAAGGGGAAACGTACCTTGTAAGGCCTGCATTTTACACTGATAGATTTCCCAATCAACTACATGTGTACAAGAGAACACAAATAAGCAAAATAATTTGGCAAATGGGGAAATCTCCAGCGGGCATGTTGATTTTTTCCCCCGAATAATATTTACTATAAAGATTTTAGTTACAGAGAGTTTAGTCTTCATTAACTATAGGGAAAAAGCCGTCTTGAGCTAGAGCCCCAGCCTTTTGTCGCCCCTGATATATATAAATCACAAGCCTGGATGCTGGGGAGACTTAAGGAGGACACATTCAAGTCAGTGGTAGAGACTGGGCCAGATCCCAAGTTCCTAACAAACTCATTCAGTGTTTCCCAGCCTTCCCTGAGAGAACATGAAGATTCCTCTTCAGCAAATTCCATTTCTGGGTGTGATTTTGGTATCCGTCTCTTCAGTGTGCTGCCCTATTTCTCCGAAGTCAGAGAACTACAGAAGTCACTTAGCTCTTTGTACAAAGCATGCCCTGCCAAGAGAACAGCAGGAAGCTGTCCTCGTGCTACTATTTGGCTTTCTGACATATGAGGTTTAGCACCCAAAAGGCGTACAGTCATTTCAAAGCACTCACATCTGAATTCCACGTTATGTCTCATCAACCCAAAAGCGGAAAGAGGTCAAGTATGCCAGAAAAAGCCTTGAACAGACAGATCATTAAAGGCTATTTGAAATCTGTACTGAAATCCAGAATTATAGCACATTAGAGCTGGAAGGGATCCTGGAAATCTTATAGTCCAAGTCCCTTCTTTAACAGGGTTGCTCAAGGTCATAGAATAGGTTTGTGTCAGAGTAAGGACTAGAACTTGGAGGCCAACAGACCTCTTTATCGTACTGTTTTCTGAAGCTCTTTTCTTCTCTGACAGTGGTGGTGCTGACACATGATCAATCCCTATAATGTCAACGTCTCAGCATGTGGTGTATAAACCTACATCTATCTCTAAGCCTTGCCTCCCATTACCAGGCAACAGGAGGCTCCACGGTGAAGGCTACTCAGCCGAGGCCAAAACAGCTCCCTTCTGCACACAGACCTGTGTGTCACAAGGTGCAATACCTAGAAAGCTGGCTAATGAGAGAGGAAGTAAAGCAGACCCCTGGGGCCTGCTGAGCTGACACAGATGCAGTAGCAACCGTCAAAACAACAACAAAACCACCCGAGCCTGAACTCCTGGTGTTCTTGCCGTCAGCAGCACTACCCTACACTGAAGCAGGACTCAGGAACCCTCAGCATCCCTCTCCCAGTGTGCCAGCTCCCAAGCCCAGGCACAGCTTCCAGGCCTCCCCACCTCTCTGTGGGTGAAAGAAGCTCTCATCCACTCTCCCGGCATTACAACCCTCATTTCAGGCCGCTCTGGAGTCACCTGTGCATCTTGCAACCCCAAGTGAAGCGAGCTTACCTGTCAGCGTCTCCGAGGCCCAGGGAGGTATTTCGTTGCAGGGTCTCCCGCACCACAGCCATACCATCAGGGAGACGGTTCAGGCGACGGGTGTAGAGGCCAAGTCCACCATCGGTCATATACCTTTAAGAGGAGAAGAAGATGAGGCACACGTATGGTCAAAAGCAAGTCGCAAACAGGCTTGCCGTTCGTATCTAGAAGCCCTGCATGGCCATCTTGTGCTTTAAGGGAAAAGGAACAGAGGATTCCCTGAGGCTCTGTCACTGATCACCACCGAAGGATAACTCAGCCGCTGATTCAACCTAGAGGATCACCAGCTTGCTAGCAAAAAAAAAAAAAAAAAAAAAAACCCCAAAAAGCTCAGCTTCATTAACCCAAACTCACAGGAATCTATAAAGCAGAAGGGAACTAGTGAATAAAATTAACTGTCAGATGTATTCATGACATTCTTTTTAATGTCAGCAATTATACAAGCAGGTGTTTTACCTATGTAAATGGAACTGACAAGTCATTAGCAAATCATAGGCAAAAATATTACAGAACAGTACAGCAAAGGAAGCAGGCAGGCATTTAAGAGAGGAAGAAAGAAAGGACAGAGGACAGAAGAGCCACCTTGGCCATCACGGGGCAAGTGGTTGCTCTGGGTTGTAGGTTTTTCACCTAAACTCTGGGAATGTCACAGCTGGTGATATATGGGAATATCACAAGGCAGACATGTGACTCAGCAAGACACGGATTATGGAAGTGCTCTGCAATTTGTGTAAGACTATATAAAATGGAAGACATTATGGTGGTGGTGATCTTGAATTTCACCTTTGATACTGATGTCTTAGGGGGGTTGTCACAAAACTCTGTGAACAACACTAATGCTAATTTGCTCTTTTCCAGATCTCTTGGTGATGCTACAAAGCTGTCTTCTGATGAATCGGTATTGTCTAGGGGAGGGAGGGTCCTTGGAACACGCGGTACAGATGGCTGACAGTCTGCCAACCAGACAGGTTCCTGAAAGCTCAGCACTAGTAGGAGGTAGCTCAGGTCCAAAGCCGTTGTACCTCATATCCATGTTGGTTCATTCACACCACCCCATAAAGGGGACTGGCTGTGTCATTTCCCTCATATTCAGAGGAGAACAGGATGGCAAGGCAAAACTTGGGCAGAGTCCAAAACCAAACTTGGACCCTCTACTCCCTGCATGGACCCCATCAGATCACCCTGCAAGGTATCCGAACATGCAAGCATTTCACTTTTCAGTTCAAATAATATGTAGTAAGAACACCAATGAGTCATTATTTTCTTGAAACAGAGTCAGCTGACCAAAACCACTGTATTTTACTGCACTCGGCATTTTTGCTTTTGAATATATGGGGTTGATCCTGAAGGTTCCAGATTCTTAAATTTCTTCCTCCTCTAGCTGGGGACCTTTTTGGGGTATATTGTTAGAAGAACAAAATCAGGAGATGCTGAGGAGGTTTCCCAGAACCAGTAAGTTCAAGCAAGGGGCAGAGAAGAAAGTTCCCACTGAAGCCCTCTCGTGTGAGAAGCACCTTCCACCACGGGTCACAGGAATCTTCCCTCCCCGCAGCTCCGGGCCATCACGTCTGAACCGAACACCCCTGATGTCCCCCCCTCCTCCCTTTATGACACTAACGATCACAGACGACACAAGGCCAACACCGTGAAAAGTGTTGGAGTCAGTCAGACCGAGTGTTTGTGGTTGCTGACAACACAACAGCAGAATAGCTTGAATTTTTCACTCAACTGTATCATTTTAAAAACAAAAAAACCAGTCTGTGACTATACTACAAACCACTGAATTGTACAGTTTAAAATGGTGAATTTTACGATATATGAATTATATCTCAATAAAAAAATAAAGTAAAAAAACAATGATTGTGGCTATAGTTAAATAATTATTTGTTGAATTGTCTTTCGATGCTTGTCTCTCACACTAGATAGTGGGCTCTTTGGAGGGAGAGATTATTCCCGTGTTGTTCAAATATATCCTATGTGCCTAGTGCTTATTCAATACTGTTTCTGTTGAATGAATGAAGCCCAAAGACATAGCCATGGGCAGGGTTCAGCAAAAACTTTTTGTAAGGACACTGATGACCGGTTTTCTTTCCTCTTAAATGTTAACAAACTTGACTTCTAAGACATATGGCAACCAAATTAACCTATGTATCTGCCAGTCTATCCATCATCCATCTGTCCGTCCGTCCATCCGTCCATCCATCCACCCACACATCCAACAGATGTAGTGACTCAGGGCAGAGCTAGGATAAGCTATGTGCAACTATCCTGCAACTGGCACAAGGAGGGAAAAAAACACCTACAACAAAATGCTGTAACTTTGCCAGAGGCTGAACTTTCTAGATCAAATGTCCTTTCAAGGAGAATTCAGTGGAAGCTCTTCAAAATACAATCTATTGCACCATTAAGCAAGGCAGTTAATTTCGATTTTAGCAAAGTCTGCCCAGCCGGTTAAGATAAACAAAATTCTTTCAACTGGGGAGATCTTGTCAAAGGACGAACAAACTAATTTTAGCATTCATTTCCCTGCTGGATTTTTACTGCTGGTGAAACAACACGCACGGCTGGGCAATTACATGCACCCGGGCATGTAGACAAGGTCCACACATACGTACTCCTGGCTTCCTGCTACGGCCAGAGAGCAGAGTCTGGTGAGCATTTTGGGGATGGAATGCTGAGACGTGCTGCAGCCCCAACCCAGCAACACCTGGGTGCAATGTGGTTAAAAGGTGGGAGGGCTCTGGAGAGATGGGCCTCACTGTGTGAATGTGGCTTGTCAACTGCTGCTGGGAATTCTTTGTTTAGGCAGACAGGAGGGGAAAGGCAAGGATAAACTAGGATGCTCTACCTTCTCAAATGCACTAAGAACTGAAAGTCAGGAGCTGAATGCAACTAGTCTGGCAACGGTCTAGGTTCGGCTGCAAGTCTATTTTATTCACTATGTGTGGGTTGGGGGAGGGAAGGAAGAGTGGTATGGAAAATGGGGAATTTACTTCTTTTCCCAGAGGTTTGTAAACATGTATTCAATCATTTAAAAGTAATAATAATACTCATACCAGGCACAGTGGCTCATGCCTGGAATCCCAGTACATTGGGAGGCCAAGGCAGGAGGATCACTTGAACCCAGGAGTTCAATACCATCCTGGGCAACAGAGCAAGATCCCACCTCTACAAAAACAAAAAAAAATTAGTCAGGCACGGTGGTGCACACCTGTAGTACCAGCTGTTTGGGAGGCTGAGGCAGGAGGATCACTTGAGCCCAGGAGTTTGAGGCTGCAGTGAGCTAATGATGACATTACTGCACTCCAGCCTGGGTGACAGAGCGAGAGACTCTGTCTCTAAAAATGAAAAAGAATAAATAATAAAAATAATATTCTTTAAAATAAATTTTATTGTATGCCTCATCCTCAGAGATAGCACAGCCTTGGGGACAGAGTTGTCATTAGAACCAGTCTCACAGCTCAAGAATCTAATTTAAAATATTTCTTTCTAAATTATTATCCATCAATTATAGTTTGACTTACAAAAAGAGCTTCATTACATGTTTTTAAATAATTCTTCTAGTCTCGACAAAAACATATGTTTTTCTTAGACCCAAATTGTTATAGGAATTGGCTTCTGATAATATAAACTGCCTTAACAAAGTTAATCCGTTAAGAAGCATAATTTACAGATGAAGCAGTCCTTGGTGTGCTCATCTGAAATACTGGCCTTTGCCCAGCAGCGGTAAAAAGGCTTACGCTCCTGAAGGCTCAGGGAAGCAGGGCAGGGCTGGCCTCACTCAGCTTTTTGGAGTTTACAAGAGGCTCCCATTGGGTGGAGAAGAAAATGACTTGCCTGAGGTCACAAGCAAAGGGACCAGCTGATCCGGGGACTGAATCCCAGAGCACCAGTGCCACACTTTCCTTCTCCTTGGGGAAATAAATAATTAGTGCTGGAGCCTAATGAGGTGCTGGTAGCATCCTGATGTTTGCTGAGTGGGTTCCCGCCTAAGCTGCCAAGCTACTGAACAACTCCCATGTTATCCTCTTGAGTCCTGGAGCAACAGGTGGATTGGGCTTTCTGTCTCCACCTTCCGAAGCTTCCCCAGAGACCCCTGCACAGAGAGTGGGACGCTTTGCTTAAGAGACAAAGTATCTGTGGGGTGTTCTTGCTTTTCAAGGCTGAGGCACTCCGGGGTGTCCCCTGAGCATCAGGATTAGACCTAGAATTCAAATGCCTCCTTTCCCCTTGCTAGCTGAGGGACCTAGCACACGTCATTGCTAGTAAGAACTAACTGTACTGAGTGCTTGCTGGGTACTGTGTTAAGTGCTTCACCTAAATCGTGGCATTCAACCTTCAAAAGAACCTTATCAAACGCATTATCACCTCTATTGCTCACATGAGGAAAATAATAAAACTATAGTCAAGATCACAGTGCAGGTGGGTGGGTTCTAATCCCAACTTTGTCACGTTTCAGCGTAATTTCTCTGAGATCCAGTTTTCTCACCTGCAAGATGGGGCAAACTACAGACGAATCTCTTAGGATTGTGGTGGGTTAAATGAGACAGTGCACGCATACAAAACCCAGTGCCCGGCACACCGGGAGCATTTCCCAATCACTAGCTGTTGTTATCATCAGCTGCAATTGCCCATGTCACAGGGTAGTGACTCTGCATGGTCCATTTTCAGTACCACGAATACTACGTCCCAGGCTCTGTGCCAGGCTGGGGTTACGGAGATGGCAAGACCTAGTCCCTGCCCTGGTGAAGCTGAACATTTGTGAGGGACTGACACATAAATAACTACCGCTGCATGAAGAAGGGTGTGACAGATGAAAGCGTGACAGGCTCTGAGAACACACAGGGAAGCTGTGACAGGAGCGCCACTCCAGCAGGCGCCGAAGGGTGCATAGGAGTGTGCCTGCCAAAAGAGGATCCATCTAGGCACATGGATGACATTTGTAAAAGCAGAGAGGAGGAGGAGGGGATGTTAAGAGAAGGGTAAGTAGTTCACTGTTGCTGGGACAGTGAAAACAAAGCCAGGAACTGGGCTGCATGGGGCCTGGGGCACAGCCATGAAGACCTTGAAGGGTAGACATGAAGGTC